GGTCTTCAGATTTTCAACCTCCAGGGTACTTTGTTAAAAATGAGCAGGGTTTGTACGAAGACTAGACTTCTGTGTGTCTCCATGCCCTTTGGAATATAGATAACAGAGGCTAAGGGCTTGGATCACGGGAAGACTATAATATGGTTTGATCACCTCCCTTTTTGACAGGTCTTCATTCACTTATAAGATATTTCCTAAATTCTGTCACTGTGCCCAGCATTTGGCTTGAGGCAAAATGTGGGTCTGTTTCAAATGTCACTCGGAGGAAGACAAGACATGCATGCACCTTAAACTAAATAGTAAACAAGGCAGTAGAGCCGGAAGGATACTTGGTGGCATGTGATGTTTTGCGAATTTGACTGCTTAAAGTCTCTCACTTGACACTAGCGAGTCTGTCGGGAATTCTTCTCTAAGCTGTAAAACTGAGAGGACCCGTCGAGCCAATTCCTAATGAGCATAGGCAACGCAACCCAGTTCTTTAAAAGAGCCGAACTAACTTGACCCCAGCGAGCCACCATAGGGAGTGTTTGCCCCGGCGTGGAGTCGTTAGGCCGTGAGGGACCTGCATCATGTGACCAGTAACAGCCTCCCGATTGGCTTTGCTCCTCTCTGGGCTACTCCCCACCCCCATTGAGTGGGATGGAACGAGAGGTTGGGCGCATGCGCAGTGCCTGGATTTCGCTGGCTGCCGGGAGTGGAACGGTGGGGCTGGCGATAAACAGGCTGTGGCTAGGAGTAGGGGGAGGGGGCGTTCGCTCTGCCGGGACTCCTCACGCCCCCTTGTTGCTTTAAGTGTGGTTTGGTGTGGACCCGGGGTCCCGGCAGCCAGCTGAAGCCTATTCCATTGTGAAAGGGAAAAGCTGCTCCCGCGGAAAGCGGTTCAAGTTGCAGGGAGGGTACGAGACGTGGATTGTCCCCATGCCAGACCAGTGGTGCGGCCCAGAGCTGGTCCCGGAGCCTGCCCGACGTGTCTGAGAAAGGCCTTGGAGGGGCGGGAAGGTGGCTGTTAGAACGCAGTTTTTGTGAAGACGGGAAGGTTGGACTCGGAGAAGAGGAAGAGCCGGATTGAAAGGGAGTGAGGCCACTGAGGGGGAGGGGGCTGCCAAGATGGCGTCGGCCTCTGGGCCGTCGGCGGCCGGGTTTTCATCCGTGGATCCCGGGGGTCCTTCCTGCACCTCGTCCTCAGGTAATCAGGGCGGGGCGTGGACTGGGGGCTGATGGCGGCCGTGCGGTGGGAGCAAGAGCGAGACCTGGGAGGGCACCTGTAGCTGGGGATGTCCGAGAGTTGCCGGTGAGGAAAACAGGGTTCTAAATAGGCTTTCCGAGTGGGCAGGGGGTTCTGAGGAAAAGACGGGTTTAACTGAGGAAAGGGAAGCTATCAAAAACGTTGTCTGTCTTGGAGGAGGCCGAGTTGAAGACTTGAAAGAAGTAGGGTCAGGAGGGGTGGAGATGGACCGTGGGGATAGGAGGGGAACAGCAGGGAAATCGAAGGGAGTAGAGAAGAGTAAAGTGAATAGAGGCCTTACAAATAGGAATTACTTAGTGTGAGAGGCAGGTAGAATCCCAGTTGGTTCTGGAGTTAATTGAAAATGTAGAAGAGAAGTCTTGGAATTGAAGAGTGATGGGGTGCTTCCGATCGCTGGGGGTTGAGGGAATTGGGAGTTTTGTTGGGGGTGGGAGTTGATGAAAACGTCTTTTTCCCTGGAGATTCCCCCTAATGCGTCATTCCTTTTCACTGCGTGAACTCCCCTTTCTCTCCCCTCTGCCTCCCCCGAGGGCGCTCCCACAGACACATTTTATCAAACATCCTCCCTTGATGACTCCTAGCTCTAGACTGACCAACTTTGGGAAGGAATGGGCAGTATTGAAGGAAGACTGAAGAATGTGGAAAATTAGGGTTAAAATACCCAAAAATTAGATGGAGAAGGTGGAGTGATGACATCTGGAGTTGCAGTGGAGGCTGAGAGGGGTGATGTTGGTAATGAGGGGGGCGGCTCTGGGTGTTGGGGGACGTTGCATAATAGGAAATAGACTGGAAGAATGCTTAGGTGGCATCAGGAAAGCGGCCCGTAGAGAAGAGAGCCAGGCATATCGCTCAGAGCAGGGGAGCAGCTATTGAAGATGGAGAAAAGCTACAGATGGTGTGTGGGAGGGAAGATGGGTGGTGGTGTTGTGTGTGTGTGGGGAGCTTGAGTCAGAAACTGCTCTAGAGCTTCCATCAGAAACGTCTGCTGTTCCGTAGTGACTGTTGCCTCCGCACTGAACTGGATGGGCCACCAGAGGTTGGATGCTTTACTCGAGCTGCTGACACTTCCTTAGACCGGAGATTGAGTTCTTGCCATTTTGAATTGGCTAAGTAGAGGGTTCCACCTTTCACATTCCAGCTCAGTTGAGTTAATACTAGTCACAAATATCTTCTTCATAAGCTGCAGTTTTATTTATGTACATCTATTTTTAGTTTCTTGAGAGGTAATTTTTGCCTTTCTTGTAAAAGCATTAGAGAGCCAAAGCAACTCATGTTGCATGTAAGTGTGAAGAAGGATAAAGTAAAAATGACATATATATATAGTCTAGAGGCCCAGTGCATGAAATTTGTGCAGGGGGTAGGTCCCTAGGCATGGCTGGTGATCAGGGCCAATCGGGGCCTGCCTTCTCCTGGCTGCTGGCTGCTGGCCAGTGTCTTCCTTCATTCTGCGCTGCCCCCTGCTGGTCAGCGCACATCATAGTGAGAGGTTGAACTCCCAGTCTTTCGAACTCCTGAGGGGACAATTTGCATATTAGCCTTTTATTATATTATATATATACATATATATATATATATATATATATAGTAGGCCCTTAATTTAAAATCTTTTTTCCCCCTTCAATCCAAGAAAGAAGAATGGTCATGTGTGGTCCTTAAATTTCTTAACTATTAAGTCAGGTATTTTCTTTAGAAACTGGGTTATTTTTTTGTTTTTTTTTTAACCAGGTTAATCTTAAAAGCCATGTGTTTATATCCCAGAATCTGACTCAGCCTCCAGCTCAGGGAAGTATTGGCCAGGTGGACAGATCTAGGAGTAAAAGGAAGTATTTCTTTGTCTCTTACTGATACATTTTCCTCCTCTTCCATCTCTACAACTTCAGATAGTCCTGTCTTTTTTATTTATTGTTTATTTACTTATTCATTGATTTTAGAGATAGCGAGGAAGGGAGGAAGAGAGAAAAACATCAGTTTGTTGTTTCACTTATTTATACAGTCATTGGTTGATTCGTGTATGTACCCTGCCACGAATCAAACCTACAACCTTGACATATCAGGATGGCACTCTACCTGGCCAGGGCAGTCCTGTCTTTTTTAGATGTCACTATTTGATATTTTTGTATGTTTTTTGCCAGATCCTAAGGCTTGCAGTTAGTAATTCAGATCGTATAAATGTTTTTTACTATTGTGCTTTCACCAGAAAATCTAATACTAGGTTTCACAACCTTGACTACTATGTTGATATCTGAAGTCAAGGTGTAAAAATGTCCAAAATAAATAACTTTAGAGTCCTTTTTTGTACTTAACGTTTTTTTACACCCGTCTTCTCTGCTTCTTTGGCAAATATTGAAACAGTTGGATTAAGAAATTAAGAAAAATTCTGTTCATAAACATTTTTAAATAATTTTTATTGATTTCACAGAGAAAGGGAGAGAGAGATAGAAACATCAATGATGAGAGAGAATCATTGATTGGCTGCTTGCACATCCTCTACTGGGGATTGAGCCTGCAACCTGGGCATATGTCCTTGGCTGGAATTGAACCCGGGACCCTTCAGTCCGCAGGCGGATGCTCTATCCACTGAGCCAAACCAGCTAGGGCACATAAACATTCTTGAAAACATTGTGTGCAAATTCGCAATGTTGACTTTTTCTGCAACATTGCCTTTTGTGTATCTGCATTTTCACTTAGGTTTGGGCTTAGCAAATTTAATGTAGTACAATATTTCATTTTAAGGATATGTTTTTGAAAAGTATAGGATGTTTGATTCTGATGCAAAAGAGGCTATAAGAATCAGTTTTATTTGTGATTAGAGGATAGTGGTGTTCTGGATGGTACCTGAAGAAATATAGGACATTGGCAGGAATAAGTGGTGGTTTATGATTTCCTAAATTGTTAAAAGCTGGAAATTCAAAGAAATGATGTGTGTGTGTGTGTGTTAACCATCCTAAAACCAATTTATTTTTCTAGATGCTTAGCTGAATTCACTTAAATTTTGGTGAAACTCTGAATTCTAAAACTAAAAGTAAGATTGCCTGGCACTGTTGAAAATGGATACAAAATAAGTGTCAGGGTTCAGGGCAGAATGGTGTTTTAAATAAGCCACTTATAACCGTTGGAGGCTCAAAATCTGTTGGCCTTCAAATTAGGAAGGACAGGTGATTTAAAACAGTTGTTCCCTGCCAGTATTAACCCCTGTCTTGATTATTTTGCCATTAAGTCAGAGCTTGTCTTTTATGCTGACAAATGAAATGCCAAGGGTAGAGCAAACCATATACTCTGAGTGATGTTTGACATCTTTTCCCATTGGTGTAATTACCATGTTTGGATTTTGGGGGAAGCAGTTATAAATTAATATCAGCTTGCAGTAGCCATCAGCGTATTCTTGCTCTTAAACTTTGATTGTTAATAAAAGGTGATGCAGTTTGCCATCTAGTGTCAGCTGTTTGGAGAGTAAAAGAAATTTATTCCTTCTCTTCCTTTGTCCCCATACTCATTTGGACAGTGGTGGCACCACTTAAAAAATAAAATCAGCCCTGATAAAGTGCTGTTGACAGTGTGACCATCTAATTTGACTAGTCCATCAAAAACTTGAAATTCAGCCATTGAGTCCCCTTTTTACCACCATGAAGGCAGTAAAGTATTTCTGTTTTTGAGAATTGATTTGAAGTCAGTGGAGGAGTTAGAAAGTAAAGTTAGAATGCTAAGGTGTACACTGCACCCCTGAAATAAGAGCTGTGTGATAAAATCACGTGACTCTCCAAGAAAAATAACTTGAAACCTTAGAAGATCATGAACTTCTAATTCCTTTTGATTCACACCAGAACGTTTCTGAAATTGTCATCCTTATGACATGATTTTATCATAAGCACAATGATTTGGAGATAATTTTATAGCTTCTTTCCTGACTTTTTCTTAACTACTGAGGGAAACCTTAGAGGACACAGGATTGAAGCATTTTTAAAAAATATATATATTTTATTGATTTTTTTTTACAGAAAGGAAGGGAGAGGGACAGAGAGTTAGAAACATCGATGAGAGAAACATCCATCAGCTGCCTCCTGCACACTCCCCATTGGGAATGTGCTTGCAACCAAGGTACATGCCCTTGACCAGAATCGAACCTGGGACCCTTCAGTCCGCAGGCCCACGCTCTACACGAGTGAGTAAACGGAAATTTGGGAATGTAAAGATAAAACAGACTGTCATGTAGTCAGAATATCTCTAAGTTCTATTCGGTTGATATTTTGCAAGGAGGAAGAGATTCTTTCTTTTTAGGGGGTTTTGACCACCCCACACCCTCCTTTTTTCTTTTGTCCCCTTGGTAGATTCTGATATCAGAATGTCATTGTTTTGTGTCTTTTTTTTTAGAGAGGGGGGAGTAAGAGAGAGAGAGAGAGAGAGAGAAACATTGATGTGAGATGTTGCCTCTCCCATGTACCCCGACTGGGCCAGAGACCTGGGTGGAGGATTTAGCCTGCAACCTCAGCATGTGCCCTGACGCTGGAATTGAATCTGCAACCTTTTGGTGTATAGGACACAGATGAGCCACGTGGCCAAGGCAGAATGTCATTGCTTTTGATCAGTTATTTATTTCTGCCATGGTTGTTTAAGCTTTTGAATATCAAAATAGTATGTTTGCTTGTTACTTTCTGTGTGCTGTTCTGGGTTGATATAAAACCCTTCTGATTAATAACTTTGCTTAGATATGTGCTAGCTACTAGCTATTACATAAAGCCTGTTTTCCTTTGATAATGGAAGCTGTAGCCTGTGAAGTGAACAACAGAGATAACATTAGGTCAAAGACAGAACTGGAGAGAAGGAAGGTGGTTATTTTATCATTTAAGCTATGTATTTCCTAAGATTTGGGGCTATTCTTACTTGACATAAAGAAAGCAACAAGACCAAAGTTGTCATTCTCTTTTCTTTTTACTGGACATATTTTCTTGATCAAGTATAAAAGTATACTTCAGGAAGTATGCTATTTTCTGATAGCCTGGCAGAGGAATCTCTGTTTCTCTCTGTTCCAAACATCAGCAAAACATTCAGTCTCAGAGTGGACTGATGGTGTTTCCTAAAGGAAACCCCTTCCTAGCCCATTTCCCGTATTGGACTTCACTTCTCCACTCTTTACTATGAAAAGAGAGCATTGTTTAGTTTCTACATATGTGTTTATATCTCTTATGAGCTTCTTATTGTTTTTTTAAAAAAAATACATTTTTATTGATTTCAGAGAGGAAAGGAGAAGGGGGAGAGAGAGAGAAACATCAATTTTGAGAGAGAATCATGGATCAGCTGCCTCCTGCACGCCCCACACTGGGGATTGAGCCCGCAAACTGGGCATGTGCCCTTGACTGAATTGAACCCGGGACCCTTCAGTCCACAGGCCGACACTCTATCCACTGAGCCGAACTGGCTAGGGCCTTATTGTTTCTTTTAACTGTTTTCTGTGAAGTGAACTTATTTTCTCAACTCCTCCATATTTTTAAACTTTTTCTTCAATCATTTTTCTTCTGTGAAATTTCGCTTTGTTCATTTGTAATGACTGTATACAATATGTATTAATTGATAAACATTTGATTCTTAGAAAGTCTCCTTATTGCTGGAGTCTGGAGTCTGAGGGAGATTTTGGCAAAAAGAGAGGAAGGCAGGTTCCTAGTAGATAGTTCAATACGTTATTATTTGCCTTATATTTTTCTTTTTTTGTTGTGGTTGTTAGTCCTCACCTGAGGATATTTTTTACTTTTTAAAAAATATATTGTTACTGATTTCAGAGAGGAAGGGGAGAAGGAGAGATAGAAACATCAATGATGAGAGAAAATCATTGATCAGCTGCCTCGTGCACACCCCACATTGGGGATCAAGCACTCAGCCCGGGCATGTGCCCTGATCAGGAATCAAACCGTGACCTTCTGGATCATAGGTTGACACTCAACCACTAAGCCCTGCCCAGGCAGGGATCAAATACTTGATCCTTCTCGACCCTGCGGTGTGCAGACCAATGCTGTAAATACTGAGCCACACTGGCCAGGGCAATATGGAATTAATCCAGAATAAACACTGCCCCAAAGGGTCAGTGATGTTGACTAGGCTAAAGCAGTGGTTCTCAACCTGTGGGTTGCAACCCCTTTGGCAGTCGAACGACCCTTTCACAGGGGTTGCCTAAGACCATCCTGCATATCAGATATTTACATTACAATTCATAACAGTAGCAACATTACAGTTATGAAGTAGCAACGAAAATAATTTTATGGTTGGGGGTCACCACAACA